AATTTCAATTTCGAAAAACTGACCCTTATGATTGGTTTTGTGGTCCAGGGTCGCATATATATATATTATATACGTGTAATATATATTATATACAAAATATTTCAATTTCCAATAAATTATTAAATTATGTTCTTTTGAACTTCCTATTCATCAAATAATGCTGACAAAACATTGAACTGTAGTGTATATAAATACATGTATAAATATGAAATGAGTATTTTTAGTATAAATAGAAAATTATATATATTTTTAGAAGTATAGTAGATTTTTTTTTGCCTTATATTCCTAGAAACAGTGAGATTGGAGGAACGAAGGGATGGGGAGTAGACTGAAGGAAAGGATGATTAGATTGGAAAATGTCAAGCCGGATTCAAATTTGGGTCGTCTGCGCAAAAATACCAATGCATGTGCTCTACCCTGCAGGTCAATTCTCTGACATCCAACTCACATTTTTCATAGTTCTGTCTGGCTCCATACTACTATTTGGATTCCAGTTCTATTTACACCAAGTGCAGTATTTTTTTTTATTCATGAATGTAGGCCGTACCCTTTGTAGGAATTAATATTCCACAGGATTCATTGCTTAAGAATTGACTGGATGGGTCATATACCATGCAGAATTCAAGTTTGTTTTTCGGTTGGCAAAACTTTATATGATGGATAGCCATTTAATGAACAGACACAAACAAAGTCAGCCAAGTCAAGAAAGGTTTAGATGAGTGGTGCGGCACATATGGAGCTTTGAGACAAGAAGGTGGGCAGCACTTACCACCTGACCATTTTGAGGGTTCTTGTGGGCATATGGAGGACCACGAATATGATTCCACATCTGACCTGAAGTCATGGCAAACACCACGCACTGTGGAAAAAAAGGGAGAGAAAGATTGTGAGTACATTAGCTGAGTGATATGGTGATACGATGAGAATGACAAACAGACAGTGAGCGATAAAGATTGATTACATTCTTATAGCCTGGAAAAAAGAGAAACCTTGCCCTTATAATCAATATAGTGGATAACAAACTTTATCCAATGGAGCAGTAAAGGACAGCCATCTTCAGACTTTGGGGAATAAATATTGAAAGCCCAAGTTCTACAATTTACAGACAGCACAACACTTTAAATCAAACTTTTATGCAAGACACAGCACGTAATTTTGACCTCAGGTGCTAAGAAGCACACTGACTCTATGCCTTTAGCTTGTTTTGTCCCCTTGACCTGTTGTCTTCTGTTTTTATTGCATCAACTTGGGTTTAGATTCAATAAATTGGCTTCTTTTATGGCTTAAAAACTCTATAAATAATTTTAATCGAGGTTTACTCCATGGTCAGCTGGTTTTATTTTATTAAAGGACCTTATAAAGCAATAGCAAACGTGTTGAAGTTGTTGAATGGTTCTAGGGCCAGAGAGAGCTGACCGTTGTACCGCTGCCAAGATATACATTGTTGTTTGATCTGGCCAGTTTTCAACTCAAAGCATAGCTGCAGCAGTTTCATTTGAATTAGGGCTAAATGATGAACATCAGGCACCAGTGCGGCCATGGCCCAGCCAGTCTTGTTGTAGATGAACTCCAAGTTGTTTCTGCGCAGATAGAGGAGCCCACCGACAAGAGACACCAGCAGAGCCAGAGCGATTGTACCCGAATAGTTGGGTGGCCGGAAGACACGAATCTAGAAAAAAAAACAAAAAAAACAAGTATTTAACTTTTGACTGACACCTTATATTTAAGAAACAATGACTTGATCAGTGACAGTGCTCTGTGAACAATGAATGCAACAATGAAGTGGAAGCAACAAAATCTGGCATTTTTGCAATTAGTCAACATGTCAAACTCATGTTAATATCACAGATAACAGTATCTTAAGTTTGACAAGTGACCTAAAAATAAACACTAAAATATGTTATTCATTTGTTCTTACATAATTACATGATAATTTCAGCAATTCTAATAGTGTTTAAAAAAAATTGACAACAAAAGTAAATTTGATACTTATGGCCAGAGTATGGTAAAAAAAAGAATTATTGTTATTATTATTATTATTAATTAACAACAACAACAACAACATTAAAACACAGCAATTTATAAAGATACCCTACCACCACAAATAACTAACAAGTAAACAAATAATTATCAAACAGGAATGAACGAAAGAACAAACAAACAAACGAATGAATGAATAATTTGTCAGATATTGGTAAATGGACGTATGTAAAAATAGGTTTTAAGACATGAATAAATACATAATTTCTCAGAAATTGGTATATGTACCATCTGTACAAATAGGTTTTGAGACATGAAAAGAAGGTGACAGTATTCTGACAATTGCAACCAGTTATGTCTTTTCAAGACTGATAAGAAAATAATGAAGAAAAATCCATGAACCTCCACTATCAAAACGATTTAGTAAACATTCAATTGTTAAATCACTGCAATCTCAAGGCCAACCTTCACCATAACACTACAGCTCAAGTCAAGAACATGTCACTAGGCATTGTCTGAAACATGGAAAATTATGCCTTTAATTTATAAATGTCAATTTTTAAATTGCTTTCAACCACTTGATTTTTTCCTACATTGAAAGATGTGTTATAGCTTGAACATCTGACTTTTAATGAATCCTTTTCTGAGGAGGAAAACTTCACTCAAAACCACTGCAGGGGAAGTCACTGACTGTCTGGGCAGCGAGGCAATTGCCTTAGGTTTCAGACACTGCCATTGTCTAGTGAACGCATTCATTCTGGAAAAATCCCTTCCCTTTTACAGTCTTTTCTTCGCCTTAGGACAAAAGTAGACCCAGAGGGCTACTAAGTCTGTGACGCATTGGACACCCATGATTCTCTATTTATGAGTGGTGTGATGCGAGACCCAGAGGGTTGTAAACACGTTTAGTGCCTGTCGTCCAAGGCCTTAATGTTTCCCTTCAAAACGTGTACTACAGCCTCTGCTGCTGCCTCCAAATCAGATCAGATTAATCTAGGATAAAAATGGCCGACTTCATCTATAATTCTGTCTACTCCAGGGGGTGAATGAGCACTGCTCCAATGCGCATAGACTGGTCGACAAAGACTAATAGCTAATTGGGCTAATGGTATGGTAATGGTATGGTATGTTAAAAAAAATAAAATAAAATCAAATAAAAGCAAATCAAATCAATTCTTTATATACACATTTGCTTTCCCTTTACTTTTTAAAAATAAAATAAAACATTAAATGAAATTAAAAAAAAAAAATCATTTTGATTCATATGTTATACTTGTATTTACTCTATTTTTTAAATGAAATAAAACAAATAAAATGAAAAATAATACAAAAATAATGCAGCCATTATAACTGCATTCTCTCTTCTTAAAAAATAAAATTCAAACATTAAAACATATTAAAATAAAAGGATAAAAAACAAAAAAATAATTTGATGCATTCATTATACTTTCATTCACTTTACCTTTACCTACTTTTTAAAATAAATGAAAAAGAAATAAGCCATGTCATATTATTACTTTTTTTTTTTTTTAAAGATCTTTAAAGGTTTTTCCTTTAGCCAGGATAAAAGAACAGAATTCACAAAGCAAAGGGTTTTCATGCCTTTACAGAAATGTGAAATGGAGATGAATCAAAGATAACGAGTCCAACTGCATGGAGGGAAGAGCGTAACTGACATATGACCTGCGCTGTAATCTACACAGCGCTTCATAATCAGAGTGCTCCATCGGAGGAAAATCTAAAAATTTTTTTTTAAAAAGTAGCTTTTTATCGACTCCAACATAACTCAGCCCTTCCCTAAAGGTGATATATACCTTAAGTGACTTATTCAAAAGTATTAAAGCTGAAACCGGGGTAGAGTCTTAATAAGGCAACTGAATTAGTGCTAGTGCTCCAAGGCAGTCGTCTGTAAACGCATTAAGGTGCCGGTGATATTTTTCAGTGAGAGCTTCTCTGGAGGGACAATCTATGTTAACATGATGTGGAAATCAGATGTTATCTGTCTCCATTTCCTGGAGACCCCATATCTGGGTCTGCTTTTGCATGAAGGCACTGCTCGGTTCTACTTCGCAGGCTTTGTGAATCCCACACTTTGCACTTTTTCTCACTGATTTGTTTTTTTTTAAGAAATACATTGACATATAGCTTCTGTTACCAAGCAAGCAGGAAGGAGTTCACTCTTCTAGACAAGCAAAACAAAGCAAAGATTACAGAAGCCAATACTGTAATTTTTGAAAGCACAGAAAAATCCTTAGATCAAAAGAGTTTTTATATTTGTCCTCAAACCACATCAAATTTAGTTTTTACATAATTATACTTTCAAGCTTTTGGCATCAATTATACAAGCACTTAAATATATATATAATTTGTCCTCAAACCACATAAAATTTAGTTTTTACATAATTATACTTTCAAGCTTTTGGCATCAATTATACAAGCACTTAAATATATATATATCAGTGTTTTGAGATGTCATAAAGAGGTTGCATTTTCAAGAGAGGGGAAGATGTTACTCATAAATGTCAAAAAGTGTACTGAGATTTATTTCTTCCTATTTTGACATCTGCTTTGTTGCTCCTAAAATCTGCTTCTCAAACTGAGCAGGAAAATAAATTAAAATAATTTTCTTAAAAAACTGCTTTTCAGGCATCAGGCAAAAGATACAATTATAAATCTAAAATAAATGTGTTTGAGACAGATCGCAAATAAATGTGTCTGTGAAATGTTCCACCCAGCTTTTAACAGCAGTGCTTTTACATTTCAAAACACGTTCAGTCACATATATTATGATAGTGATGTGTTTATACTTTTATTTGCTAAGCATTGACATGCACCTAGAGTGATATGAAATACATAAAATGATTTTTAATTTGATATATTGTGTTGCATAACTTTAGACGTACCTGCACATCAGTACGATCTGCGATCCACTTGGCCAGTTGCTCAGAGGCAAAGCCAATCCGCTGAAGGTCAAAGGTGTCTGCTCTCTTCGGCTTCCCTTTGGCTGGGAAATGCATGAAGGTGGGGGCAGAGTTCATGTTCAGCTGGAGGAGAGGAGAGAGAAGAGGAAGAAAAGGCAGAACATATGAGAAAATGAGCAGAAAGCATAAGAGGGGAAGAGAGGGGATGGAACTGATGAATAGAAGAGAAACAAGAGCACAAAAACATTAATATCTGCTAATAAATCAATAAAGCAGCAGGAGTCGTGTGATGTGTATTACAGAGATTTCTTATAATAAGGAGACAGAAGCAATTGAAGAGTCTCCAGAGGGAGGTAAATTAAGATGTCATAAAGAGGTTGCATTTTCAAGAGAGGGGAAGATGTTACTCATAAATGTCAAAAAGTGTACTGAGATTTATTTCTTCCTATTTTGACATCTGCTATGTTGCTCCTAAAATCTGCTTCTCAAACTGAGCAGGAAAATAAATTAAAATAATTTTCTTAAAAAACTGCTTTGCAGGCATCAGGCAAAAGATACAATTATAAATCTAAAATAAATGTGTTTGAGACAGATCGCAAATAAATGTGTCTGTGAAATGTTCCACCCAGCTTTTAACAGCAGTGCTTTTACATTTCAAAACACGTTCAGTCACATATATTATGATAGTGATGTGTTTATACTTTTATTTGCTAAGCATTGACATGCACCTAGAGTGATATGAAATACATAAAATGATTTTTAATTTGATATATTGTGTTGCATAACTTTAGACGTACCTGCACATCAGTACGATCTGCGATCCACTTGGCCAGTTGCTCAGAGGCAAAGCCAATCCGCTGAAGGTCAAAGGTGTCTGCTCTCTTCGGCTTCCCTTTGGCTGGGAAATGCATGAAGGTGGGGGCAGAGTTCATGTTCAGCTGGAGGAGAGGAGAGAGAAGAGGAAGAAAAGGCAGAACATATGAGAAAATGAGCAGAAAGCATAAGAGGGGAAGAGAGGGGATGGAACTGATGAATAGAAGAGAAACAAGAGCACAAAAACATTAATATCTGCTAATAAATCAATAAAGCAGCAGGAGCCGTGTGATGTGTATTACAGAGATTTCTTATAATAAGGAGACAGAAGCAATTGAAGAGTCTCCAGAGGGAGGTAAATTACCCACTACAAGAATGAATGTCTGAGGGGCCAGAGAAAGAGACAGAGAGTCGTGTGATGTGTATTACAGAGATTTCTTATAATAAGGAGACAGAAGCAATTGAAGTCTCCAGAGGGAGGTAAATTACCCACTACAAGAATGAATGTCTGAGGGGCCAGAGAAAGAGACAGAGAGAGAACAACAGGATGAAATAATAAAAAGATAGAGTTAAAAGCAGACAGTTGAAATTGTCATTTTTTTGACCTCACGCTGTTCCAACTAGGAATGTGCACAAACACTTGAGTACTCCGAAGTGACAGTAATCAATGATGACAAAAAAAACACCTCATTCTTAATTTGTTATGGTTAGAGTGTCCTTTTTGATGATACCTTGCAGTCCAAATCATAAGCAATTTGTGTCAATACTATTTAAGTGATGTTCACCACAGAATCCCTCCTGAATTTCACAATTCTGCAATAGCAGAACCCAAAAAAATAAAAATAAATAAATAAATGAAGCAAACTGCCTTTAATTAAGACAGTTTGCATTTTTTGTTCCATTTCTGTAATTTTTCTGGCAAAAACAATAACTTCAGAGAGGGGAAAGCTATATAAGGTATAGAACAGACCGAACAATTTCATCAATATGTGCTCAACTATTATGCCGCTATTTGCAGTAAATTCCATTAGTGCATCCTTGTGCATCGGGGACCTGGATCACAATTTCAGTAATTATATTTACAGGCAAATAATTGTACTCTTACGGTCACTAATTACTAGTGTTGGTCAGTAACTAGTTACAGTAATATTACTTTTTGCAGTAACTAGTAGTGTAACTAATTACTAGTACGATTTCAGTAATAATATTACAGTTACCATCCATAAAACAGCTCGGTACTCAGTTAATTTTGATGCCTCAGCCCCTACTGATTTGAAGTCCAATAATCCAACAATTCCTAGATTTATTTTCATAATTTTCATGACTTGCAGTGCAGCAGGCGACTTGGAATATGGAAGAAGATGTGCAAGTTGTGGCATTACTTTACTCTGGCATGACATGGCTTGCCAACCAACATCCATCTGATCCTGATATAAACTGTATTACTATAATTAAAAATCTTTTTAGAAAACGAAACTTTTCTTGTGAACTTATGTGATTTATTTTTATAAAATACATCATGAAATATAATCATAGGCTATATGGGTAACATAAATTATAGCTACAGTTAGCTTCAAGCTACACTGTAAAACCTGATAAGTTAAGAATACTCAAAACATTTGTGGAAACTTATTGTCTTCCTAAGATGATGTCGAACATACAAAACCAACATAAAAACATATATAAGGGAGTCATTTTAAAATTAATATTAATATACATAAATCTTGCAATATGGCTTCAGTTTTAGTCTCACACTAAGCTATTAATTGGGCTAAGAAGGAATATGGTGCATGAGTCATATGGACTATAACAACCCTCTACATTGCGAGTAAATCACTCGCATATGCGACTTAGGGTACCACCCCAGTGACAGTTTTGTACCAACCCTGTATTTTCTTCTGTGAAAAACAAAAAGATGTTAGTCATCTCTCTGAGCTATTACATAAAAAAATTGGATGGTTTGGATGCATACTGCCAAAAAGGGCAAAAAAACAGCATAAATGTGTCATAAAAGTGATCCATATGATGTGTGCTGTATTAAAAGTTGTTTGAAGCCCCACGGTCATATACACAGTCAAACTTACTTTGTCATGTGTGACCATCTAAAAACATTTCCTAAGATGATGTCGAACATACAAAACCAACATAAAAACATATATAAGGGAGTCATTTTAAAATTAATATTAATATACATAAATCTTGCAATATGGCTTCAGTTTTAGTCTCACACTAAGCTATTAATTGGGCTAAGAAGGAATATGGTGCATGAGTCATATGGACTATAACAACCCTCTACATTGCGAGTAAATCACTCGCATATGCGACTAAATCTTACTCTGGGCGACTAAATAATGTCTAACATTAGCCATTGGCTAATAAATTCTTAGATTTTACACGC